TAAAACAATCGTGAAAATTACACACTATTTAATGTACTCACGTGCATACAGGTACCTATAGCACAAACAGTTAGTTAATGTAGCCTATAAAGAAGAACATTAACTGTTTTACAAAGTTACTAAATGAAGTAATAAAATACTAAATGTGAACATAATAGTATTATATATTTATAATATAAAAATGGTTTATGCAAATTAATAATAATGGTTACAAGTTAATAACATGGAGTAAATTATGAATATTTTATATTATTTTACACTACAAATCCAAAGGAAAACAGTATTGTGTAAGCAAAGCACTCATAATTATAAATTTACTAAAGCTGTCTGAAATTTTATCTAGTTTGTTGTTATGACATTCAATATCTGGACTGCATGTCACGATAAAAGAAAACTTGCTGAACAAATAAGAAGGTTAAAAAAAAAAAACTAATAAGTGCATATTGTTTAATCAGCTGATTGTTCATTATTATCATAGCCTCATGGTATTATTCACTGTGCCTTATGATTTTTTAGTGCTTTTACAAATCATTGGCAGTGAATCCTTCAGAGCAAATTAATTGTGATAATGTATTTGTATTTTCTTAGTTTTCGAGGGTTTCAAAATAAAAACTCTAATTTTGATTCAAATGTACTAAGACTAAAATTTGTTTTAGGACATCGTACAAAGATCTTGCATAAGTGGCTTGTAACTTTCCTAATTATATAACTTGAATTGCAAATCCTTATTATATACCTCTAACCTTCTTTTCTAACATTAAAAACCCCAAATATCTTCCTATCAATAAATTTATTAACATTCACAATTATAAACTTAGAAATATAAGAGTGTCCCTGAACACCACCAACGATATGTTCGGGAGCACTTGCATATCGTTAAGGGGTATAAATATAGACTTGAATTCAGTAGATCAAAGTATTTTAAGATAAGCTAATCTTATTCTTCCACCACCACCCCACGAAGAATCTTAAGAATCTTAAGAAGAATCTTAAGGATCTTATCTTTAAGAATCTTATTCTTCCACTCTGTCCTACCCCTACCAAGGTTGTTGCCCCAAGGTGTTGCAAGCCCTGGGCATCCGGGTGGCTTACAGGCAATTAGCACTGGAGAAAGTAGTCTATTATGGGGATGAAAATAAGCCTTCCATAGAGAATAGGGGTGCACTCACGTATAGTTTGACACTGACATGAGGATTAGCTTAGTGGCATTCGTTTCAAAATTCTACTAACTTTCTGTTTGAAAGGGTAAAGGGTGAATGAATGATGAGTGTGTATTATCCGGGTGGCCTGAAAATATTCGGGAAAATCTGCGAGCTTTGGACAAGATGCTGATTTGTTATGCACTATAAATTACGATTTGTTGCTTGAAATCTAGCATTATGTAAGCTTACAAAGTTGTTATGGTTCTAAACTGGGCCCAACTCATATTGAGCGTTGAATCTTTAATTAAAGCCTCTGGCTTAAGAAACAGCTGATCTTAGTCCACTACACAAGGCATATCACACTGTCCAGTAATTTTTGCGTTAAAATGCATCCGGTTTTGTCAGTATCTCCATTTAATAATACGTGATGTTCACTCCATTTTACACTGATACTTCACACAATTAGGTTTTGAATCCACCAGTTGCATTATAATTTCAATTGGCAATGTGATTTTCACTCCATTTTACACTCATCCGCCGCACATATTAGGTTACAAATCGTCCATTTATGGTAATAATAAGATGAGATAACCTCTTCCTCAGTAAAAACCAAGTTACGATTGAAATATTTTGTCAACTTTTAGGTAATAAACCAAGTTTAATATAAATCCAAGTTTAATATAATATGAGTTAGATAATTAACAGTTTTTGTCTATAGTTAATTTCGATCGTAATACCACAGTTCCAATCCAATGCCTAGATAATACTAGAGAATATTTTGTGGAGTGGCTACAGAACTTTAGAACGAGGCTCGGCATCAGAGTTGTTAGTTGTTTTATGTTGATTATTGGTTTAGACCTATTAATTTTAATTTTGATGTGGTGAAATCGTCTAAATAAAGAGCAGTAATAAACTTTTGGATTATGTTTTAAGGTGGTAAAGATATTCTACTTTTCTATATTTTTTTACATTTTACCCAACAATCATCATCGTCAAATTAGAAGCATTCGTTTAGGCTATGGGAAAGTGTAGACAACGTAAGACTGTAAATCACTCATGTTCAACTTGAAGAATAATCAAATACATCGTTACTAAAGTGGCAATTGCGTGCTCAATTCAATCGGTTTCAATCCAATTACTGATAACAAATACAGCAATGCAGCATATGCAATTCATGAGATACAAACTATCAATTCAAATGCGCCACAGCTCATAACAATATTGAAATTACAGTTTGTTACAGTAAATGCATGTACTTGGTCTACTTAACCAATAGTATGCAATGTTTGTAGTTACTCCCATAAAGATATTTCACCTTTATGGGTCAAGTGAAGATAATTAAAAGGTTCTGCTTATTTATAGTGTGTTTTGTTGTTACTACGTCAATGTACACCGTGTCCCAAAAAAAACTGAACAATTTTATTTACTTACAAAAAGTTTATTAACAATCACACGATAAACTAATTACATTTTAACTGACACAAATATTCCTAAGTTTTGTTTGATATAATATGTGTTAATGATTTTCAACATGGTTGCCATTGTTGGCAAAAAGATAGTCAATACGGCTGTCCAATTCAGCCCACACTCTATGGCGCATTTCGTCAGTAATGTTAGTAAAGGCTGCATTTATTCTTTGCCTCAATTCTCGGACATCGGAAACTTCTGGCTTATAAAATTATAATTTTGACAAATTTAACTCACATGCTGCACAGCGAACAGACTTTCGAAGGTCGTGAAGAAATAATTGGTGCACGTTTTCAATCAATTCATTTTGGATTTTTGGCCTACCTTTACCTTTTAAATGTTGTAAGCTTCCAGTTAACATAAATTTGTCATGCCAGGCTCAAATGCTGTTCCGTGATGGAGGAGATCGACCATAGCGTCTTCTAAATGTTCTTTGCACTGTAATATCTGACTTACTTTGAATGTACCACTCAACCGCATTGCGCTTTCTCTCGTGCGTTCATGGTGCCTGCTTAATGGCAGGGCAATGTTTTTAAATTTCAATTTTCAAGCGACTACAATGAATCAGCTGATAGTTACAATTGATATTGAACAAAACTTCATGAGCTCAGTTATCATATGATCACCTTCAAAGTAGACTAGGTATGCCTGGACGTATTATATAACAATTTAAAATTGTTCAGTTTTTTTTGGGACACGGTGTATATCCACTTGTTTCTTGGTATGCGAGCAATTAAAATATTTATCAGATTTAATTTAATATAATGAATACTGAAGCATGTTCATCCTATAGGTAACTCAATTTCATTAATATACCAAGGTAAAACTATTATAAATGTCAATTCCAGGCTCCCCCAGGCACGTTAACAACAAAAGCACTAATCTGTCCTGTCTAGTTGTACTAATAGTAAAGACGGCTATGGTCTAGGCCTACTGCCATACTATACAACTGAAATCTCTGTTTCCATCTTACCCAGTTCCCTGGTATATTCTCAACAGTGGAAAGTTCTCCCGGTGGTCTAAAATTAGCCATATTTATATTTCAAACGATACTTAATTTGACATAATCCAACTCAACGATGTACCAGTAACCTAAACAAACCATGCTGATTCTTAAGGCAATCAACCCTAGTCCGAATTTCACAGTCAAACAAGGCACTTCACGGTTACAACGGGACAATCTTGATGGTGGAAGTGCATATTCTAAAACAGGGCTGCCACATGTTCAACAATAAATAATACATTTAACTGAGTAAATTGGTATTATATGTATCACCAACAATGAGTCTTCGTCCTCTAGTGTAGCTAACGAGTGCTCAGAACAGAAAAACATTTAGTCGACATCAGCGCAGTCAAACGTAAATAATCATACTATCCTTTTATAACAACAATAATAACAATCCTTTATAATAACAATGGTTTGGATGACAAGTCTTCTAGTACTGAGCGAAAACTCAATGCCTAAATTCAATAGGTTGTTTCTTGTTTCTTGTAATCTTCATAGAGAATAAAGTGAAGTATATTGATCAGTATTGTCTCCTAGTTAGTTGTCTGATACTGATTAATATAAATTTTTACAATTGTGCTCTATCCTTTCTCTTAGGCTTTAGAGTTCAACAAAAACGAATTTGTGTGTTTCTTGTAGCAGGAAACCTCAACTATTCATTATTTGTGAGGATTTTGTAGACTAATTGTTTCATTACTGGATATAGGTTTTGAAGGATTGGACAAAACTAATGACATCGTGTTAGTCTTTCAATACAACAAAGCTGAATTTGGGTGTTCCTCGCAGCAGCATCCAACAATTGATTGGTCGTTATGCAGGCTATATAGTAAATTGATTGTACAACGTTGTACACGAACATTGATTTATATAGTGTGGGTATAAACGGAGAGTTCCTTCCCTCATGAACCTGTTTTGTGTAAAATTCAGACACCGTAAATTTGTACATTCCGTTTGGATGTGAGTTTTACATCTCCAATGGTCATATACTCGTATTTTTCGCATACCTAACGTACCACCTTCCTAACCCCATGTTTTACCGTATACCGGTCAACGCATCCATAACAATAACCGCCTCGTCGACCGAACTGACGGAAGCGTTGCGATTAACACTAATAGTTAGGAGACGCAGATTTAATTTTCTGATAATTCCAGAAAATTGCGCGCCTATATTCCAAAAGGATCCCGTTAAGTATCAATCCACAGGTGGGAGGAGAGAAACCATGCCAATCTGTTGCATACGAGCGAGAGAGATAGAGAGAGAGTGGAACAGGTTCTGTGATTCTCGTCCGGACCGTTGGCGCAGCACTTGTATGAGAAGGACAGAGAGATCTTTTTTCTCCCTCCACTTTATCCTCGGGTCACTCCAGAAACGCCTTAAGCTAGATTCGATTCGGTCGCTGTTTTGACCACGGTTTCACGCCCACGAAGTGTTTAACCGATTTTTTACCCAGTCCGTAGGAAAGTCGATTTTTACTCGGTGCAGAAGAGTGACGTAATCGTTTAGTTACCATGTGGTGATACGCGGGTGCGCATGACACTATAATGCCGGGAATGTTTCACGTTTTCTTCGATTTGACGCTTTTATGTAATTTTCTCTCTGGTCACATAGTTTTATCGAAGTGTTTATAGTTTCTATTAAAGATTTTTGGAAATGTCACCTTCGGAATCCCTAGATCGTTCTGCATTCTCCAGATGACACTCTGAGCAGACTCTTCTTCACCCTCTCTCAACCCCGCATGGTCACGATGGACAAGGACGACCTCATGTTCTCCAAGGACGACATAAGCTCCCTGGACGGTGACGTCAGCGCGTCCAGCGACCAGCTGGAGCAAGAACTCAATGACGTCATGGCCAACAATGGTGTTCAACTCACCCCCGAGGGTAAACGGAAGTTGGATTCTCCAGAGGATCCGGATATGCCGGAATCTCCCCGGAAACAGTTGCAGCTGCAGCATCACAACAACAACGACGTGTCTTTCGTGCTGATAGAAGAGGATGGAGGGGGCGGCACCGGGCCTGACGACTTGGCTTCTGGAGACGAAGAGGTCAGATTTATCAGTCTCTCTGTAGGGTCTAGAGTAGGTCTGCGGTGTAATAACAGCTTCTAAATCTTCCTTGGGGTATTATATGAACACAAATCTCTATCCTTGCTATTTTACTGAGTTTCCTTTTGAACCTTTTTATCTTAAGAGATAGCGAAGATGTCAGGATCATTAGCATATCTTTTTTAGTTCTTAGAGGGGGTTCACTTTGTAGGTGATTAACAACTGTTATCTCCTATTAAGGATATCATCATTATTTACTTAAATCGTTGAATTTCCGCCATTCTTAGCTGTGATACTAAGTTTTTATATTGAACATGCTTCTCTAATAGTTCACGAACTGGTAACATTCAGCCTTTTGATACTACAGTAGTACAGTACTTATTTACAGTGTCTTAAATAAGTTTGAAATATTAGATTTTGTTTTAATGTAATTATTATAAGTTTGCATTAGATACTTTTAAGCAATCAGAATCATACGAACCGTGCGTTACTAAAACCATTGACTTTATATCTACACATTGTAGATATAAAGTCAATGCTAAAACGTAGTGTTGAACGAGGTCAAACTTGGCTTGCATCATGAACACATTAACTAATCAAGTGTTTATATCGTACTGCATCAATATTTAAGAATTAGAGTACAGATTATTTGAAAAATATACTGTATTCTTCAAATTTTATAATTGAAATGGACACAAAAGCAAAATTAAACATCTTTCATATTACATGAATTATTTGGCATGGACATTCACATTAATTAACTTTTATTATTAGGTTGGGAAAAGAAAGTGTCTAGTAAAGTGACATGAAGTTGTTTATTTTGATGAATCGATTCTGTTCGAGATGATGCGGTTTTTTTATATTTTGTTCTGCGCTAAAAGTTGATTCAGTTGAACCGGACCTATAAACAGTTTTACACCACGACATTGCGATATAAATGCATCGTTATCAAAAGAATACATATTGCAGCTCAACATTTAATGATCGCAATTCACGAACCAAACATACGAATCCAATCTGTTTAGCCGTTAACATTACGCTAATGACTCTGGCTCGTAACTTAGACAATCGAATCAGAGATTGAAACATTAACCTATTTAGCTTTACCACAATCTTTAGATCGATCTGGGCAGATATTCTTTACGGAACAGATACAAATTAAGGCCAAAGACGTGGCATTAAATCCCCGTGCGAGCCGATAGGACCAGTTGCTTTAGAAATCGGTTATATGAACGCGGCGAACGAGTTTGTAGTGCGTCGGATTTGGCTGAACTCAACGTGGTTTAAAATTAGCATTGTTGAAGACTTATATTTATATTTTCGAGACGAAATAATCGAATAGCTGAGGCACACGTTTCCTTGTTAGGAAGAAAGGGGGGGGGGGGGGTAAATTCAACACAAAAGCTGTCTTGGGAGGTCAGACGAGCCACGACGTCTGTCCGGCTGAATTGGGAAAGGTCATGGCACGGGCTCATTATTATATTGGCATATAATCATCTGGAGAAGGCCACTTGTAACACAGTTGCAATGGGAATAAAGAAGGGATTTAAACTTGGAAATATTTATTGGTGAAAAATGTTGATCGAAAGTGTATAAAGAAAAAAAAATTGATTTAAGGTTCATCATTTGAAAACAAGTATTCTCTTTCGTACAATCGCAAAAGTTGAGTTAGTATCGAAACCATACAGTTTCTTTGTATTTGTTTCTTGTGGTTGCTCGTTGCTCCATTAGTGGATGGATTAATAGATCTATACGACGCTGCAAGCACCAGAGTGCATATCAGGCGAATATGAGCGAAAGTCGAGTCTTGGATGGAAGAGATGACACCTTTACCACTAACTAAGATAAACTAATTCATTAACCACGATGATTTATTTCAAGTCCAATGATCGTGCCATTGCTGAAACGCACAAGTTAAAAAATAAGTCTAAATTTATTTTGTTATGATGTTGTTAGAATTACTCACTACTTTTACGATTACAATAACCCATAAAAGCAAGATCTATGATAAATCGTCTCACCATAAGTTTACAGACTCAAAATTAAATCCAAAATCACCTAAAATGCATTTTAAATTTCACCCTATTTCAAGTTGTACATTCAAATTAATAGTGCAACATGTGTGCATACTGGCATCGCTGATGCGTTAAACACTCAGCTGTTGCCGCCAAACCGGCAGATTCCCGCGCAAGTCGTGATCCACGGAAGCCGCCTTAGGTCGTTACGTTGACCACGTGACCACGGGGTGTCTAGTGCGCACGCGCCGTGCACGAGACTGCGTACACGCGTGACCCACAGCCCGGAGCTATCAGCTGACTAGCTTCATTCAGCACTACCAACAGTGAAGCGTGAAATTTTTGTTCACAAATTTAATATGTAAGAAAAGTGGAATTTTGCATATGTCATGCACTTTGACCTTAACGTTTTGATGTTACTTCGGCACACAGTATTGCTAACTTTGCAGCGTTTATCGTTTGTTTCACAAACAGTTTTTATTATTGAATATTTATTATTGCCTATCATATTATTGCAACGTTTTCAGGATATTCAACCGTCTTTCAATTACTTTGAAAAGTGCAAAACTGTCATCAGACTAAAAACTGTATATGATCTTATAACAAGGTTTTTCATAGTTTTTTTTTATTTACTTTGAATATAATTAGAGTAGACTTTTCATCTTACAGCCAAATCAGAGGCCTGTTTTGTTATGTGTTTCTTGTTGGTTACCTTTTACTCTGCTTTGTATACTAAACACATTTTTTCTCTTGTTTAAGGAAAATCTGTTCAAACTGCACTTTCCTTTTTTGGTTATAATATCAAAGTGACAGCCATAGTTTAGAAATCAATTGTTTTTAATAATTAGAAACAAACAGGGAGATTAAAATACCATCCACATGCATCGGACCCAATAACACTTTGACTCAATATCTTCAGCAGATCCATGTTAATAATCAATCTAATTTCATATAATGCCAAATATAATTGTATACATAGCAAAAGATAACTGTCCTCGTAATATAGTCAGTCACTTGCATCTGTTATGGAACACGTCCTCTAATAAGCCTAAGCTAAAAGTCGCTCCCACATATTTTAAACGTGAATTTTTACACAATCCACCTCTCCACCCGAGCGTGAAGAAAACCTTCATGATAATAAAATGACCACCTCTCGTCCTTGTGGTTTCCATAAAGGTCACTTTGCCTTATAGCAACAATTCTCCTGTAGACCGTATGGCCTTTCTACTTGCTCGGGCACATTTTATTGCAATGCTCAATGCGAGACTTGGCAACGTATTGGGCTTTATAGATCAATAAATTCACTAGTTTCTCCCAGGAAATACACAGCGCGTCAATTGATAATTTATTATTTGAGCCTCGGATTAACAACGTAATACTGTAACATAAATTTAATTGTAGGTAATCGAATTATTTTTTGTACTTGGTACGTAAAAACAGTAGTTCCATCTCTTTGTATACCTCGTGTATGGTGTTTATTCAATTTTTCTTCAGTTATGTTTGGAGTCCGTGATATTTTTTTTGGGAATAATGCAAATATTGTTGTTTGTATTCATATCTTGTGATATATGCATAATTTCCTTGTTTGAGGATCGATGTGTGTATTCAAAAGAAATCATCTATGTAGTGGAATTCTTTCATTTGCTAATATTTCATGACAGTTCAATTTAATATTATACGCTCAGCGTTGAAACTCTTGTTTGATTAACCTTATTTGATTCGACTCAATGCATCTGTAATCATAAGTTTATCGTCAATATTGTGATTAATTCCTTTTTTATTTTACCATTTTTTAGAATCCGTTATTATATGATTCTCAATAGTCTTAAGTTATACAAAAATTTGCAGTAATTGTGTATACTGGTTTCTTAAAAAGTGTACATTGTATTTTAATTAATTAACCTGTGAAATAAGTGCTTTCATTCAATGTAAAAACGGATTTTATTCCTTTACTATTTTCGTAATGTAGGAAATCCCACAAAATTTCAGTTGTTTTCTCCAAAATTCTTGCAGCTTTATTAAAAAATATATTTTACCTTACATCTGATACGGTCACTGACCCAGGAGTGAATTAGTCTCTAATTACATTATTATTTCGGAAAAATCATATCTTATGACGTCAAAACGAACATACATGCAAAATAAAAACCAACACTATGTGAATTCATTCAAATGTCCAATTATGGGCTCGTTACAATTCCATAAAACAAAATAAATTCAATTTACTGTATTCTAAACTGATTAATAGAGACAAATAGATATCGTATCGTATTTCTAAGATTAAATCGTCTTCCTAAAATATCAATTTTCATTTACATTTTAATGCTGAATGTTTTCAACTGAAATCCTTCAGGTGGGCGGGAGCAGATCCAACTACACTGGTCCAGGTGTCCGGTTAACTAACCAGACCGATGTTTTCACCTCAGACATGATGTTTGTGACTCAGATAGTAGTGGAGCCAGGAATGCTGTCCTTAGGCAAGCCCCTGAGCAGCCTCCGACACACACACACAGACAACACACACACATACAGCTCACCTACACACGCAAACCTACGTGCTCACATACTTGGAGCCGATTTTATATCATTGTCGGTCCAAGTTGGGCTACTTTTTCGTTCCTGGTAATTCGAGGTAGTTCCTTCTTTTGGTTCAGGGTAAAAGATCGGAGATGTTATTAAGCGCCATTTAATATGAAGTAAAACTAAATGGCGTACTTTCAACCAGAGTGAAATGCTATATAATTACTTCTGTGATATGTTTTGTTTGGAAGTTGAAATCTGGAATACGATCGACGTATATGTTATGCTATATCTGAAAAGGGCCACTCTCATATATTCTTACCATATATTTCAAAATGTGTCCTGTTTATTGATTTTCAATGTTCTGCTTTCAAATTGTACCTTTTATGAATAGAATTTAGATTTGTTACCACAACGAAATACAAATTATTCAATTAAGTGCCCATAAAAATTCAATTTTAAAAT